CGAGCGCTCCGGGCCCCGGGACCGCCGCACCGAGGCAGCGGCGCTCCCGGAGCCCTCTCCCTGCGGCGGGGCTGCGGAAAACGCCCTCGGGGGGCTGTTCCCATGAAATGGGGTGCAGGTGGCACGTCCTGCTGCCAGCCGTGCTGCTTCGCTCGTTCGCTTCCCAGGAGGGGCTGGATCCCGAGCTGTGCCCTGGATGTGCTCGGCGCCTCTCTGCGGGCGCTGGCACCGTCCCTGCGGCTTTTCCCCCCTCCTGCAGCCACGGGAAGCCGTGCAGCGACTGCCAGGGGTGCCAGGCCAGGCTCAGGGTGCGGCTGGGCTGAGTTAAAGTTGTCCAGGGCAGCCTCTGGCTCCCGAGACCGAACCGGTGCTGGCAGCGCTGCAGCGGGACGGAATTTGGGAGGGAAAAGCGACAGGACAAGTGGCTCCAGTGAACCCTGAGGCAGCGCTTCCCTCCCTGAGCAGCCGCCCTGCACCGAGGCTCCGCTGCCCAGGGCGCAGCTGGAGCTGTGCCCGAGGAGAACAATCGGTGTCCGAAATCCCCCGTGCTCTGCCAGCACGCCCAGCTTTCCTCCGCTGCTGAACCGCCCTTGGCTCCAGCAGGGCTTGTCCTGTCTCTGCGTCCCCTCCTGTCCCCATCCTGCTGGTGGGACTGGGGGGTCAGTGCCCGCTGGGATCCAAGCCCAGCGCTGCTTCTCCCCCTCTCCTGGGCCCTGGGCTCCCCGGCAGCAGCTGAGTGCTGTGGGCAGGGTGGGACAGGGCCCTCTGCCCCTCTGCCAGCGCTGCTCCCCTGCCCCTGCCCCTCCACGCCTGGCTGCTGCCCCAGGGCACAGCTGCTCCCTGGCAGCCTCAGCCCCAGCACCCCGAGTCCTTCTCCTCAGGGCTGCTCTCAATCCCTTCTCCTCCCAGCTCCTGTCTGTGCCTGGAGCTGCCCGACCCCGGGGCAGAACCTGCACTCGGCCCTGCTGACCTCCATGGGCTTGGTCCTGTCCCACCTCTGCAGCGTGTCCAGCTTCCTTCTGGAAGGAAGTGTTGGAAATGAGGCGCTTCACTCAGCCAATATATCGAGAAGCAATTTAATTTATTAATTAATATGGTGACCTATGAGCAAAGACAGCGCTGGGTGCAGTGGTGGGGATTTCCCCCTCTGACTGCACACTGATTGTTGGGCTTGCTGGTATTTATTGATCATACTCATGTATATTCATAATCTTTTCCCAGTTTCTACGTGAGCTTTCCACAGTTTCCATTTCCACCTTTATCATCACAATTCTATCCTTCAGGATCGTAAATGTATGATGGGGATGTTTGGCTCCTTTCCAATTTCTATGCCCTGTTGTGGATATCCCAGGATGTGTGTTTAGATGCTGGGGTCCAACTTCTATTTTCTGGGATCATTAATCTATGGTAGTGATGTCCAGCTTTGCTTTTCAAAATCATCAATCTGCAACCTTGATGTCCATCTTCTTTTTCCAGGAGCTTGGGATGGCGTCACTTCCCTTTATGTTTAAATCCTTTATGCATTTTAAAGCTACAGCTTAAAAATCCGTAGTACTCAGCAACATTCTAAAGTTATAATTCAAAAGCTCTTATTACAAAACAGTTTAAGACTTATACGTTCTAAAGCTACAGTTTAACATATTTTTTATTTTTATTCTGCGCTGGACGCACATCGGGATTTTCTTCGCAGCAGGGATTCTTCTTTAAAGGGCGTGCGTACATTTTAGGGGATTCTTGATCTTTTTTATTATCCTGTACTAATCTACATATACATAGAATCTCACAATAGGTTCATGTATATTTATTTTGTTGAATTTGAGTTACAATTTACAGTTGGCTTTTTGTACAGAGAACTCTTTAATCTTTTTGTCTATTTTTGTAGACTTCTTCTTTTTTTAGTTTCAGAGTTCAAGAGGCCCCTCGCATCTCTTCACCCTGGAGATTGCATTTTTTTCTCTTTGCCTGGGGCAGTTTTACAAGCACAGCAGAGTTAATAGATTAAATAGCATATTTTACTCACGTTAGCAAGCTACTACGCAGTACGCTTTACCTAAATCCAGGTGGATTTTCTACTTTGTTAAATTTCACTCCGTTTCATCTGCCTTGTGCGGAGGAGAGGCGACGTCCGAGGAGGCGACACAGGAGTCGACTCAAGGCTGGGGAAAGTCTCAGGTTTAATCCATGCTCTGAGGAGCACCAAACTCCAGAGTATCCAGCAGCTGAGAGGCCCTCGAGGCTCTCGCCCATCTTAAATACCGGGGCGGTAACGGGAGGGACTCCCACTAACCAGTGGAGGGATCTGGGCGAGTGGAAGGTGGAAGGATAGACAGACACATGAACCAGTGGGGAAGTGGACGGGAGGGATCCCTGGCCCTCGGCCAATCCCTCGATGCCCGCGGTGGAAGGTTCTGGAAGGGTGGGATGCGGAGCCGAGTGATGGACCAGGTGGCAGGGAGGGGAGAGGGGAGTGACGAAGCGTTTCCAGGGAGATCGGCATTGAGGGAAAGGTGGGAAAACTCGGGGTGGAGCAATGGGAGCTGAAGGGGCAAACGACTACAGAACCATTACAGAAATACAAAACCACAATCCAACACTGTCCCATGGCCGCGTTCCACACATTTCACAGCCACGACCGCACAGGTTGCCTTTATTTGCCTGACACGGAGCACAACTTTGTATTTCCCAGAACGGAACTTGGATGCAGGTCCCAGGTGAAACCCTGCTCCGGTCACCTCCCCAGGAGAGCCCTGAGGAGTCTTTGCTGCCTGGGCAATCCTCAGTGGAGATGAAGGGTTGGCCTCCAGTGCTCCTGGAATGAATCCTCTGGGCCCATGGGTCACTTTCTCCTGACTGTCTGCTCTTCTCCTTTAGGATTTTGAGCCTTTCCTTCCTGGTGCTCCACACCTGAGTTCCTGAGGGGTTCCCATCTCCTTCTCCACACCCTGCCTGGGTGCCCCAGGTGAGACAGAGTGAAAATTTAACAGGGTATAAATCCATTTGGATTTAGGTGAGGTGTGCCACTTTGAGCTTAGTAGCATAAGTGAAATGTGCTGTTTAGTCTGGTAACTGCAGCACTAGCAAAACTGACCCAGCTAAGGAGAAAGAATGCAAATTTCCACACTAAAAAGATAAGAGATAAGAAAGACTCCTGGACCTTGAAAGAGACAGGGCAGAGTGACCCAGGAGTTCTTTCTGTACTTTCTGGCAAAAACTGAGTATAAGTGTAACCATGTGCAAATGTAATGCGAAATCAACAGAATGAATATGCATGAACCTGTTACAAAATTCTATGCATATGGAAATTAGGGTAATAAAAAAGGATCGGGAGTTCTCAGGGGTGCACATGCCCATTGAAGGGCAATGAGTCCCCACATGGGCCCAGTGCAGTAAAAGTAAACATACCGTTCCATACAAATGTTTATTGGAATTGTGGGGGTTTGAGTTTTCATCCGCTGCTGCTGTGCTGGGTCCCCTGAGCTGAGGAGCCGAGGCTGGGAGCAGCGGGAGATCTGCTGTGAGGTGGGTGAGGGAGTCAGAGCCCGCAGCCCTTGCACACATGGCCCAATTCCGCAGGGATTCTGAGCGAAAGCTGCCCCTGAAAGCTCCGGAAGGGTGCAGGAGCCCAGCACAAGCCCCTGGGATCCATTCCTGGGCTGGTGGCAGTGTTGTGGCCTTGCTGGGACAGCGGCTGAATGCTCTGAAGGTTGTTTGCAAGGAGTAAATCTCTCCAGCACCCAAGTGAACCGAGACTGGGGCAATTCTCGGAGTTGTGTGACAGAGCCACAACCCCAAAGGTTTAAGGGCAGGTGCCCAGCGGAAGGTTTGCAGGCACTTTTCCTGCTGTCAGCAGAGATTTTGAACTCGGTGGCTCCGTGGTGGCCGAAGCCAAGACTGCCTCCAACGGGCACCGCCTGACGAGACGCTCTGAAGCCGCAGGCGGAGGGAAGACAAGCACAATCAGTGTGATTGATAAGCAAGCTTCATTTGTTCAAAAATCCTGTCGGTTTATATAGGGTTTGCTACAAGCAAAGTCAGCAGCAGCTCTCATTGGTTTCACAAAGGTCTTTGTCCTGTTTAGCCTACGTGCATTTACAACCATAGCCAGGTTCCTTAAGCCAAGTTTCTCATCTCTAGTCACGTCGTCGTGGTACATCCCATCTTCTCTGGGCACATCTTGTCACACAGCCTATTCTTGTACAAGCATATCTCCAAGGATATGCTCATCCTTATTCTCTCATTCCCACCTTGCTCCGTTTCCCAGGCCTAGACACAGAGCCTGTTTCCCAAGCTCTGTTCCCAGGCCAGACACAGCCCGGTTCTGATTCCGGGGTCTTAGGCAGAGGTATCAATGGATAACTGTTCCATTGATCCATGACCCCTCTCCTGCAACCATTCTCCAACAGCCCTCTGTGCTGAGGAGCAGCAGGTCACAGAGGGCACCTCGCTGAGCTGCCTCCCAGCACCTCCAGTCCCTCCTGAAGGGCCACCAGGATGGCCCAGGAGCAGCTGTGGGCAGGGACAAGGTGGGATTCCCCTGCACTGGGGTGGCCCAGAGGGTGCAGGATGCAGGCAGGCTGTTGGGTGGGCAGAGGGGCTGTGCCAGTGCTCCGGGGAGCCAGGAACGTCCCCCGCTGTCTGCACCTGTGGATCGAGGAGTTCTGCCGGGAGGATGTGGGTGATGTGAAGGCAGCAGCTTGTCCAGGGCGCGTGGTGTGGTTGAGTGGGTCTGTGCGGGCTGTGCATGTCTCTTTGTATGTCCGTGTGTTTGTCCGTGTGTCTGTGCTGTCTCTGGGACACGCACTCACCCTCAGGGCTGATCCTGCAGACAGGAAAGCCACAGGCACATCCAGGGTGCTGGGAAGGAGACCCTGGCTCTTGTGCCATCGCAGGCCTGGCTCCAGCAGCCGGGTGGGAGCAATCCCCAGGGCTCAGCTGCTGCAGAGCCTCTCCAGGTGCTCTGACAGCACCTTAGGGACCATCTCTGCTCTTCCTCCACAGCCATGGCTTCGCCGGAGGATGCACAGGAGGGGGATGCAGAGGCGCAGCTCCTGGCAGAGGCGTTCCAGAAGGAAGGGCTGGATGCTGGATACTGGCTGCCCAAAGCTTCACAGATCCTGGGAATCAAGAGCAGAGGAGCCCTGCAACATCTGGGATATGAGGGCTACCTCAGGCTGGAGCGTCACGTACGGCACCCCCGGGAGAAAGAGGCACTCCAGAAAGTTCTGAAAATAAGAGATGACAAAACAACCACTACAGAGGGGCAGAAGGAGTACTTGGAGAAGACAAAGAAAACTCAAGAAGTGGCCAAACAAACCCGGAATGATCTGACAGAAATGCTCAGGAGCCGCAGCCACAGCCAGGATGCTCTGAGGGAGAGAGCAGAGACTCTGTGGCAAGCCACGGAGATTCCCAAAGAGTTCTGGCCAGCACCAGAGGAGCCCCTCGTGGATAGGCTGGAGAGCATCCAGAAGCAGCTGGAGCAGCAGGAGCTGTCAGCAGGCAGGAGGGAGAACAGAGGAGATGAAGACTGGGAGAAGGTGGAACGGGACTTGCACTCCTTGATCGGTGGGTGCTTGGATGACAAATGGCATGAACAGAGGATGCAGAACATACTCAGAGACGAGGAAGACACTTTTTGTACACCTGAGGCCCCCAGTCAGTCCCAATGCAAGGCAGACAGCAGCGAATCCAAAGAAAGTGAAGCCACTGCAAACCAGGAGTTCCTCCAGTTGCTCAAGCGCCTTGGACTGGAAAGTCACTATCCAAGGAAAATGGGAATGGGAGATTTCTGCACCATCTGCAGCACCTCTCTGCAGGACAGCCAGCCCAGCCAGGACAAGGAACTGCCGTTGTACTTCTTGCAAAAGCTGTTAACTGCGGATTACCAGGTGAGGTACCTGACCTGCTGGGATGAGAGCAGCCCAGGCCTTGCGCCCGTGCCACCAACCGGAGGGCAAGCGAGCCAACAGTCAGACTCCTTTGGAAACTTCCTTGATCGGCTGATGGAAGCAGCCCCTGCACATGAGGGCAGGGAGGGCCACGTGCACCCCGTGGACCTGCAGATGGCCGTTTTCCATTGTGCTGATGACTTCCTGAGACAGACCCTTGCCAGCAGGATGGCGTTCTGCCAGCTGGCGCTGCCTCTGCTGGTGCCCAACCCCGGCACTTCACGCATCGAGTTCCCGCTCTACGCCCTCAGCCAAATCCAAAGGAGCTGGGAGGAGGTGAAGAAGTCGAGAAAGCAGGTCCAAAGAAAGAGTTACAGCAACGAACTCATCTTTCAGGCACAGACACCCATCGTGTCCTTCATCCGCATTGGCAGCTCAGCCTCCTCCTCCAAGTCCCAGCTCCTGAACGCTCTGCTGAGCAAACACAAACACGACACCTTCTTCCACCGCCACTGCAAAGGCAGCACCCGAGAGCGTTTGCTGGTGGAAGGGCTGGTGGAGATCGCCTGGTACTGCCCCCGCGGAAGCCCCGATGACACCTTTGGGTGCTGCGTGGCTTTCTGCAACCTGCGTGGAGACGCCAGGGACCACGGAGCACAGCTGCACTTCCTGCAGGAGGTATCTGCTGTCAGCGTGGTGCTCGTGTCCGATCGGGAGCACATGGACGACAGGGGGAGAGAGATTCTGCAGGGCCTGTGGCAGTCACAAAGGCCTTCGGTTTGTCTTCTCACAGAAAAAGAGAACGTCGCAGCTGGACAAGCCAGTAGAACCATAACGATAGGGATCAAGAACAGAAACAAAGCAGAACTGATGGAGCAGCTGACCAAGACAATTGGGAATCTCCTGGGAAGGTCTCATCCCTGTTTCAGCCTGGAGGCCTGCGTGGACAAAGCTCGCCAGCACGGATTTGTAGTGGATGCAGATCAACCCGCATGTGTGACAGCCAAAGCAAAGGCAAAGGAGCTGGTGGAGCTTCTGGAGAAAGAGAAGATGTCTGAGATCAAATCCCAGCTGCTGCCGCTCCAAGGAAAACTGTGGCACCAGTGGTGCCAAAAGGACAAAGAGCTCACTCGCCTGCAGGAGAAGGGCAACAGAAGCATTGAGCATCATCGCAGCCAAATTGAAAATTATAAGGAAGCAATAAGAAGAAAGCAACTGGAGCGAGCTTTCCCCCTCAACCCTCTGATGAAATCATTCCTTGGCTTTCTCCAGGCCCAGCCAGCAGATACCAAGAAATACTTCCTGCAGTGGATGAAGGTCTTTATGCACGAGCTGTCTTGTGGTCGCTTTGAAAAACTGAGGCGAGACTATCACAAGTTATGGTCTGGAAACCTGGCAGGAAAGAAAAGCAAGAAAAATCCCGGTGGCAATGATGAGTTGCTGAGTCGCTTGGATGCCCTCTCTGATGAAATCAACAGTTCATCCATTGGTCTGGAGCACCTTCTGAGAGAGGTAGGGCAGATTTATGAGGCTCTGGAATTGATAAACTTAGAGAACAAGAGTTTTGTCAAACTGCCAGAAATTGCAGCAGAGCTGATGGTTTCAGGGTATCCCGTGGAGCTGATGGATGGGGACGCTTCTTACCTGCCCTTGCGCTGGGTGGGCGCAATCTTCGACAGCTTAATTGAGAGGCTGGGGGACAAACGAGTGTTTGTGCTCTCCGTGCTCGGCATGCAGAGCACAGGCAAGTCCACGCTGCTGAACGCCACGTTTGGTCTGCAGTTCAACGCCAGCGCAGGGCGCTGCACCCGCGGAGCCTTCATGCAGCTCATCCCGGTGAGCGAGCCGCTGCAGCACGACCTGGGCTTCGATTTTGTGCTGGTGCTTGACACAGAGGGGCTTCGTGCCATCGAGACGGCCGATAAACAGTCCCTGAACCATGACAACGAGCTGGCCACCTTTGTCATTGGTGTTGGCAACTTGACTGTGATCAATATCTTTGGAGAAAATCCGTCAGAAACGCAAGATGTTCTCCAGATCGCTGTGCAGGCTTTCCTGAGGGTGAAGAAAGTCAATCTTTCCCCAAGCTGCCTCTTTGTCCATCAAAACGCGGGAGAGGCCACTGCCAAGGAGCAGAACAGGGAAGGACAACGGCGCTTGCAGGAAAAGCTGGATGAAATGACTGTGGTAGCTGCTCAGCAGGAATTCTGTGACGTCTCCTCCTTCAGCGATGTCATTGGCTTTGATGTGAACACCCACATTCACTACCTTGCTCACCCGTGGGTAGGAAACTCCCCAATGGCACCACCCAACCCCACCTACAGCCAGAACGTCCAGCAACTAAAGAGCAAAATCCTCCAGGCTGCCAAGAAGGAGCCGCAGCGCAGCATTTTGAGGCTCTCGAGCCTGAAAGATCGTATTGGTGACCTCTGGAATGCTTTGCTGAACGAAAACTTTGTTTTCAGCTTCAAGAATTCCCTGGAGATTGCTGCGTACAGGAAACTGGAAAGTGCCTTTAGTCAGTGGACCTGGAGGCTGAGGAGTCACATCTTAGACGTACAGATGAGACTGGACAACAGAATTCGGAATGGGGACTGGCAGAATGTCACCAGAGAGCACCTTGAAGGGCTGGTGCAAGAGACGAGCGACGCCCTTGAGAAAGAAGTGGACAAGTATTTCAGGGAAGACAAAGACCACGAGACACTGGTCCAGTGGAAATCAGGCACAGAGCTGAAGCTGAAAGAACTAAAAGAGGCTCTTCTTCATGAAACAAAAAAGAAATGTGAGAATCTTATTGAGCTACTGAAGGAGCAGAAGAAACTGGATGCGAGGAAGTTGGAATATAAAGATGAGCTCCTGAGAAGGAGTCGGGAGCGGGCTGTGAGTCTTAAAGGGAAGAGCCTCAGTGAGAGAGAGCTGGAGCGCAACTTTGCTCTGGTCTGGAACAAGTGGATTGCCAAAGTCCCCCGATCTTCTCGTCCTCCAGAACGGGTGGATATCAATGCAGAAATCAAAGATGTCCTTCTAGAGCACTTTAAGGAGCCAGGTTTCCATGCACGGATCAGGTCATTTCCCAGAGGCAGAGGGTTTTCTTTTGATCCAGAGAAACACATAATGAAGAAAACGTATTTTGGCCTTTTCTCAGATTCCAGGAGCATTTCTGATGCGGATGTGATCAACTTTGAGCAGATCTCAGTCAACACTATAGTGTATGTGAAGACAAACATTGCTAAGAAGGAAGAGGAGAAATGTGATTACAGCAGAAATTTTATTCATGAAATACTCAATGAAGTGCAGAAAGGTGTGGACTCTGTCTCCAGCAATGCAAAATGTACTTTTACCAGAGAGTACAGCATGGATTTGTCTCTGTATCTGTGCGCAATGGCAGCAGAAAGGTTTAAAGCCATGCACGAAGCGTTCCAAAAGGCAAATGACCCAGTTGTGTACCTGAGCAGCAGGAGAGAAGACTTCCTAAAGTGTTTCCAGATTTCCTGCCAAGGAGCCACTTCTGTCACAACTTTTGCTGTTTTCCTTTGTGACAAGATTGAACCAGCTCTTCGCCAGGCGGTCTATGAGAGGGCAGCTAAAGACATCGCTGAGGACATGCAGGGCAAATTCCCAGATTTCCAGGGCAGCAGAGCCAATCTGGAAGTTTGCATCCTGAGATACCTGGCAGAACAGGAAAATTTTGAGTATTTCATGAAGTACCTTAGCTTTCCAAAAGAGTTTTGTGAGTGGTACATTAAGACACGAGTTTGGAGCCACTGTTTGGATGACAGTAGGAGGCTGAGGAGGTTTTTAGATTCCTCCCTTGATCTTCTCTATCAAAACATCCTGTCAGCCGTTGCTTTATCAACCCGGGTTGTCAAAGACAGAAAAGACAGAGAAGACAAAGTCTCTCTCTGGCTGGATGAATTTTGCAGGGAACTGTCAGAGGTGGTGAACTTGCCCAGAAGTGAGCTGAAGGGCATCGAGCACCAGGAGGTCACAGACATTGAGTTCCTGAGCAGCGCCATGGCAGAAGCTCTGGAAGACCTGAGGGACAGGCTCGGGGAAGAACTCGCTGGGGCTGACCTGCGCTCGTTTTCGAGGCAGCCTCACACCATCCTGGCGGAGCATTTTTCGGGATGCTGGGCACAGTGTCCCTTATGTGGGGCTGTCTGCACAAACGCCATGCGGCATCACGATGGAGATCATCAGGCGCTCTTCCATCGCCCACAAGGTGTGATAGGATTCAAATGGTGTACATGTGAACCTGACAACGAGCATGAGTCACATGAAATGATCACTGACATTTGCTCCAGCCTTGTTGCAAGTGACCGTGAATTCAGAGTTGGTGGTGACCAAAGCATCCCCTACAAGACATACCGAGATGCTGGACCTCCTCGTTCCACTTGGAACATCCTTCCTGACCCATCCATGCAGGCGTACTGGAAATGGTTTGTGTCTCGTTTCAGGACACAGCTGGAAGATCGGCTCAATGGGAAATTTCGGGGCAAAGGAGAAATCCCTGCGGCGTGGCGGAGAATCACCAAGCAGAAAGCGCTGTCCGAGCTGGAGAAGCGCTAGGCCACATCCCCGGGGTGGAAGAATAACAGCAGCTTTGCAGCTTAGGAGAACTTTGTACCAGGCTCTCCACAAAATGCAGTCACAACGCTCTCAAGCCCGGTGAAGACAGTGGCATCGAATTTTTCCCAAATCTGATGAAATAAGGCGCGTTACTTCACCCATCAGTCAGCAGCTCCCTGGCTTTATGGGAAAGCCGGACTCCTCTTGCCTGTTCGCTCTGAACATTTCCCTCAGCTTTGCCCCAGAGCCAAACCAAACCCCCTCCTTGGGGCGATGGGCCTCGTGGCCAAGCTGAGCCCAGGGGCCAGGGACGGGGCGAAGGCAGCACCCAGAGCACCCCTTGGATCAGCTGCTTGAGACAAGAGGGGACAGAGCCCCAGAGGCAGCTCTGGAGAAGGTGGCACCAGCCGGCTCTGGAGAAGGTGGCACTGCCGGCTCTGGAGAAGGTGGCACTGGGGCCGTGCTCTGGAGAAGGTGGCACTGGGGCCGTGCTCTGGAGAAGGTGGCACCGGCTGGCTCTGGAGAAGGTGGCACCGGCTGGCTCTGGAGAAGGTGGCACAGGCCGTGCTCTGGAGAAGGTGGCACCGGCCGGCTCTGGAGAAGGTGGCACTGGGGCCGTGCTCTGGAGAAGGTGGCACTGGGGCCGTGCTCTGGAGAAGGTGGCACCGGGGCCATGCTCTGGAGAAGGTGGCACCTGCTGGCTCTGGAGAAGGTGGCACAGGCCGGCTCTGCAGAAGGTGGCACGGCCGGCTCTGGAGAAGGTGGCACCAGGCCGGCTCTGGAGAAGGTGGCACTGCCGGCTCTGGAGAAGGTGGCACCGGCCCGGCTCTGGAGAAGGTGGCACCGGCCAGCTCTGGAGAAGGTGGCACGGGCCGGCTCTGGAGAAGGTGGCACTGCCGGCTCTGGAGAAGGTGGCACTGGCCGGCTCTGGAGAAGGTGGCACTGCCGGCTCTGGAGAAGGTGGCACTGGCCGGCTCTGGAGAAGGTGGCATGGCCGGCTCTGGAGAAGGTGGCACCAGCCGGCTCTGGAGAAGGTGGCACCAGCTGGCTCTGGAGAAGGTGGCATGGCCGGCTCTGGAGAAGGTGGCACCGGGGCCGTGCTCTGGAGAAGGTGGCACTGGCCGGCTCTGGAGAAGGTGGCACCGGCCGTGCTCTGGAGAAGGTGGCACTGGCCGGCTCTGGAGAAGGTGGCACCCGGGCCGTGCTCTGGAGAAGGTGGCACCGGCCCGGCTCTGGAGAAGGTGGCACTGCCGGCTCTGGAGAAGGTGGCACGGCTGGCTCTGGAGAAGGTGGCATGGCCGGCTCTGGAGAAGGTGGCACCGGCCGGCTCTGGAGAAGGTGGCACCGGCCGTGCTCTGGAGAAGGTGGCACCGGCCAGCTCTGGAGAAGGTGGCACCGGGGCTGTGCTCTGGAGAAGGTGGCACCGGCCGGCTCTGGAGAAGGTGGCACGGCCGGCTCTGGAGAAGGTGGCACCGGCTGGCTCTGGAGAAGGTGGCACCGGCCCGGCTCTGGAGAAGGTGGCACCAGCCGGCTCTGGAGAAGGTGGCACCGGCCGGCTCTGGAGAAGGTGGCACCGGGGCTGTGCTCTGGAGAAGGTGGCACCGGAGCCGGCTCTGGAGAAGGTGGCACCGGGGCCGTGCTCTGGAGAAGGTGGCACCGGGGCCGTGCTCTGGAGAAGGTGGCACTGGCCGGCTCTGGAGA